TGCTCCTGAGATTACCTGGTACTCATGCTCCTGAGAGCACCTGGTACCCATGTTCCTGAGAGCACCTGGTACCCATGTTTCTGAGAGCACCTGGTACTCATGTTCCTGAGAGCACCTGGTACTCATGCTCCTGAGAGCACCTGGTACCCATGTTTCTGAGAGCACCTGGTACCCATGCTCCTGAGAGCACCTGGTACTCATGCTCCCCTTTTATTTGTTTTTGATGGTCTATTTGCCCACATTTGAAAAAGGGTAAATAGACCATAAAAAACAGGAGATGCTCAAATATACTGAAATAATAAAATATATGAAAACAGAGAAATTTAAGATAATAAATATGATAGAATTATTAAATAAATATATACCCAATGTTTAGTAAAAGAGCATTAAAACACTTAAGTTTTTTGAAATTAAAAAAATAAAACACTGGGGGAAAAATGTATTGGATTAATAATCGAAGTAACCACCAGATGAACAAAGTCATCGTTAGTTGCTGCCCTAGTAATAACAGTTCCCTTTGTTTGCTACGGTCCGTCTAGCCGATCATGATATTGCTGTGTCATTGTTTTTTCTGAGCGTCTTTTTTTCAATTGTTCCCAATAATCAGAGAGCGCATGCGGCCGCCTAGAGCTAAAGCGCTGCACCCGACATCTTATTGAGATTTCTGAGCTTCCAGTTTAAAAGCTCTGAACTTTCCAGAAAAGCACTGCTGACGTCACTGTAGTAAATGGAAGAAGCCGTGTCTCCTAAACTTTATACGTCAGACAAATGTTTTATTAATAAACACTCTAACGTCAAAGACTGAAACGGCTATTAGTGGGAGCATATAATCCGGGCGGACACTGAATGCTGCCTGCGAGTGTTGCGCTTTTAACGTTGTACGTCTGGCCTTGCTTCAACGGTACGGCTGTCAGACTGACATTTGACAAGCTCATTCATACAAAGTATGAAGGACATGTCCCCTAATTTGTGCTCATAGTTAAAAAACATTGTCAAACAATAAATTATAGCCCAAATAGATAATATAAAAGCAAAGGAGCAACACTAATCTACCATACAAGAGGTTAGAGTGGTGATATGTTGTCAAGACGTGATGTGGACACGTTGTGTCCACATCACGTTGTGGCCCTAACAATGTTTGCTATTGCTTCTACTATTTCTGTTGCTGGTTTTACAATATCAAGTGCCTTTTAGTACCTCACAAATAGAGTATTATTATTATTATTATTATTACTATTATTCTGCTGGACAAGGGGGTCCTCAGTTGCTGAGCAATGAGCAAAAGGTCTTCACAAGTGAGAGTAAGATGCTACATGAGATCAACAGATGGATTGGTTGTGGCTTCAGGTGTGGCCATTGTGCTGGACTACTGAGTGGAGCCTGAAGGTGAAGCTCTCACTTAGCAGTCAATCTACGTTCCAAGCCTCATGGTCATAAGGTTTGAGGTGTGACCAGATGAAGGACATTGTGGACATGAGCAGAAGAGATCAGTGTCCTTGGCGGGGTGGGCCGGTTAGGAGCTGAGACATCTGGAAGGACCTAGGAGTTGAACTGCTGTTCCTTTGCTTCAGAAGAAGCCAGTTTAAATGGTTTTGGAATCTGATTATGAGGCCTCCTGGAAGCCTTTCTCGTCCAACTGGGAGGAGACCCCGGGACTGGAGGAATTACATATCCCATCTGGCCTGGGAATGTCTTGGGATCCCCAGGATGAGCTGGAGTACATGGCTGGACAAGAAAGACGAATGGACTTGTTGCAGAGGCCCTCGGAAATGTCAGAAAATGGATTGGCAGGATGACTAGAAATGACAAAGCCATGAAAATAAGACCAAAGTGGTGTGAAGCTGGAATTCCCCACTACGTTTCTGTATAGATATGCGTGCTACACAAGAGCAAGGTGCTGCTGATTCACGTTGTACCTCGGGCCACAATGCACCAACTGTGCTGTGCGCTCAAAACCCGGCAATGTTTACACAATAATCAGATCACTGTTGATAAGATGTTTCGAGGAACGCTCTATTAGTATTCCTTTTTCATGCCTGACTAATAACTGACAGCTCCCACGACCACTTAGTGCTACAATATCAGTTCACCCTCCAGATTCCACCTCAAACATGATGTTGTGCTGCTGTGTGTAACCTTTTGGCTATGTTTATTTAAGGATATACCGAAATATATTGTTTTACAACTTGGGTCTTATTCTTGTTGTTTTGTGTGCCATTTCTAATAATAACAAGGAATATTGTAATAACCAAGCTAATTGCTGAGATCTGGGAACATATCAACATCGGTAAAGATTAGTCAATGGGTTAAGAAACTGTATATAGACTTCCCTCTCCTGTGCAAAAGTGAAGCCAAAATAGTCCAGATATGGCCGCTGCCATCTTAAACCAAGCCCAGCCACAGCTTGATTCCTGATGATAATGATAATATCTCTATAAATACATGAAGGATCAAACTGATGCATGTTCTGTTACACAGACTCGGGATTCGTCAAACTGCTGACACTGATATGAACACACACGCCAGTCCACAGTGCTGGCTAGCCTTACTGTCAGTGGAAACTTTGCTAAGCTAGTTAGTTTATGTCTATGTTTGAAACAGACAATCGGTTATTTAAGATATACTCAAAATGACAGAAACCATCTTTGGGGAGAATGTATTTGATGTGTACTTTTGGCCCATGTCCCATCTGCTCATGTGAAGGGGGCGGGGTTTATCACGTATACTGCGGCCAGCCACCAGGGGGCGATCGATATGTTTTGGCTTCACTTTTGGGGGAGCCTCATGTCAACCATTTTTATATTCAACCTATGAGTCAGACCATCAGACAGGTTAGTCAAACAAAAAAAGAGTTAGCCAGCTGCTAGCCCTCTGTGGTGTCAAAGGAGACACTGAAGTGGCCTTGTTCTGGATAAATACCTCTTCCACTTTTACTGTGGAGTCTTCTGAATTATTAAATGCAATATCTACATATATGAGCCTATTGTTTTGAAGAAAATTAATGTAGGTGCTGCACACAATCTAATAATGCGTGTGTGTGTGTTTCAGACCGTGGAAAGGGAAGGCAGAGACAGGCCATTTTAGGAGAACACCCATCGTCCTACAGTGATAACGGCTACGGTAAGACACCTAGAATGAAACTGGTAACTGAATCTGCTGCCGAACACAAGGCTGCTATTTACTCGACAGATCCTCATACCGCTGAGGTGAAACGTGACACTTCCTCACCTACACACACATTCACTTAGCATCGGTGTAGTCTGCCAGGCGTGTACTGGTCAGAGGTGCAGCAGTGGGTATACCTTCACCTGCATTGGGAAACAGATCCCTGCCACGCTCATTGATGCAAAGAGATAGTTTGCATGTTTTTGAAGTGGGTTTGTATGAGGTCATTATTCATAGTCAGTGTGTTGCCTACAGTAGATAACGGTCAGAATGCAGAAAGCTTGTACTGACTTTAAACCGCTTAAAGAAAGGCCCACCAAAAATATCAATATCAGTTTAAGAGTACGCTATCTTTGCTATATTTACCTAGCTGTTAGCATCTCAGCTCCTACCGTCTCTGCCTCCTCAGGTTCACCCTGCCCCCTGCTGCCTCTGCCTGGCAACAGCAGGTACAAGCTGACCTCAGCGGACGTTCCAGACATGGTGTCCTATCCGCTGCCCCAGTCCTCCTCCTCATACTCTGCCCAGACCCCCAGCTCCGTTGCCATGGTTAGCGGCCTCCATTCATCCAAGATGAACTGCACCCGCATCTTCAACCTCTTCTGCCTGTACGGCAACATTGAGAAGGTAGGTGTGTTTGAATTTCTTAAAGGGGGTCTTTGATGGCTCGCTGTTTCATAATGTCTATTATAGAAACAAAGAAACTGTTGTAACTATGGTGTCACACCAGCCACTGCTGTTTGGGTGATTACGTTTTTGTCCACATCACTAACATTGTGATCTCGTTAATATCCAGAATGAAAGAGTGATTATAGCGAGCCAAACCTGTTTCAGTCTCCACCCGGCTATTGTTTTCAGATACACTCGAAAAGTTGTGAACCTATCCTTTTTATTAGTGTTCTATCTGAAAAGGTGAGTCGTGTATGTTGCTTCTGTAAGACAGCTGGTCACAGTGTGTGTGTGTGTGTGTACGTTCAGGTAAAGTTTATGAAGAGTGTTCCTGGCACAGCGTTGGTTGAGATGGGAGATGAGTATGCTGTGGACAGAGCCATCACACACCTCAACAGCATCAAGGTGTTCGGCAAGAGACTCAATGTCTGGTGAGAAGTAGATCAACCCACACACTCTTTATTATTGTCATTATTTATTATTTATAGGTTTGTTATCATGTCTGTCAAATGTAAATGTCCTAAATGATACATCCAAAATGTTTCACATCTATCTCAGTCCGTGTTAGAAATAGTCTAATATATGCATAGAAGGACCTGCGGCTCTATAGGTTCATTCATCTCCTCATTAGTCTTTTCAACTCGTTTTGCCTTTTGAAATGTGGAAAACTATAGTAGTAGATGCCAAGTCACAAGTTCCCAGAGTCGGAGGTGACGTCTTCAGATATTTATCTAACAATCCAAAAAGCCAAAGATTATTAATTGACTGTTATAGAACAGAAACATTTGAGATGATAAAAACAAATGTTACTTTAACATGTTAAACACCTTTTGTGTTTGTGGATCAAGTGACAAAATCCGGTTCTGAAAAGTGAAGCCGATGCTGAAGTGTCTTAAAGCTGTATTCTCTCTAGTGTCCACCAGGGGGCGACTCCTCTGGTTGTATAGAAGTCTATGAGAAAATGACTCTACTTCTCTCTTGATTTATTACCTCAGTAAACATTGTAAACATGAGTTTATGGTCTCAATCTCTAGTTTCAAGTCTTCTTCAATACAGCATGATGTTCATTTAGTACATTATGGTCCATTTAGAGTCAAACAGACCATAAAGCAGGGGATGCTTTAGGGCGGGCTTACTGTGATTGACAGGTCTCTGCCAAGGCGTTGTCCTGTCTGGTAGTTGTCCGTCTTTTAACTTTAACCCTTTCACAGCATGTTTTCACTTCATCAAAGTTAATTGTAACATTTTTATGCATAAAAATGTCTTATTCAGCGTTCAGTTGTAATTAGCTCCACCCTTTAGTGACACTTCTGGTTGCAAACAAACAAGATGGCGACGGCCAGAAAACAAGATGGCAACAGCCAAAATACCAAACTCAAGGCTTTAAAGCCAGTCCACAACCCAACAGGTGAAGTCACAGTGTAATAATACAACTAACAATACATTTAATGAAACAATGGGACGATCAAAATGTTCTTGATCCCTTTGATGTCAACCAAACAAATAATTTGATCAACTATATATAAATCTATAAAGCTGATATCAGAGGTGCAGTTTCTCACATGGACGTAGTCTCCGTGACGCGACCCAGAGGTTTCTGGGAGCCGTTGTGAAGCTCATAGTGGGCTTCTCTGGCCGTCACCATCTTGGCAGTGCCACAGCCCTCAAAATGATGGTGATTATGATTTTGGCCATAATGGTGCAGCCCTGGTTTGGATGCTTCAGCAGTAGATGAGGTCCCTGCCCCGTGGCCTGTGGGTGGCGCTTTAAAGCCAACAGTCTCAACATTTGATTCTTTTCAACTGCTTTGGATGTTTTGATGTCACGACTGCATACAGACCTGACATGTTGTCAGTGTGTTGATGGTATTTGGGCTGTGTTCTGTAGAACACGTAGACGTGCATGATTGGATCAGGTGACTGTGGTGTTGTGTTGTGTGCAGTGTGTCGAAGCAGCACGCAGTGATCCCCAGCCAGGTGTTCGAGTTAGAGGACGGCAGCAGCAGCTACAAGGACTTTGCCATGACGAGGAACAACCGCTTCAGCAGCGCCGGACAGGCCTCCAAAAACATCATCCAGCCTCCGTCTGCAGTGCTGCACTACTACAACGTCCCTCCGTGCATATCACAGGAGCATTTACTGAAGGTACGGCCCCTCCGTCTGTTGTACTTTAAAGTACTTCCCCGTCTCTGGTAGAGTGAAGGTTCTGAGGTTTTGCAATATTAAGTTGCTCTCTTTACATTATGGAATAATTACTGTTTACTTATTTGCAAATCTCTTCAGCAAAACTATAGTTTTGTTAGGATTGTATTAATAAGTCCCCAATTCTTCAAAAACATCCATCCATCCATCCATTTTCCTCCGCTTATCCGGGGTCGGGTCGCGGTGGCAACAGGCCAAGCAGGCTGACCCAGACTTCCCTCTCACCGGCAACATGTTCCAGCTCATTCTGGGGGATCCCGAGGCGTTCCCAGGCCAGCTGGGAGATGTAATCCCTCCAGCGTGTTCTGGGTCTTCCCCGGGGTCTCTTCCCAGTTGGACGTGCCTGGAAAACCTCCAGTGGGAGGCGTCCAGGAGGCATCCTAATTCGATGCCCGAACCACCTCAGCTGACTCCTTTCGACGCGAAGGAGTAGCGGCTCGACTCCAAGCTCCCTCCTGATGACCGAGCTCCTTACCCTATCTCTAAGGCTGAGCCCGGCCACCCTACGGAGGAAGCTCATTTCGGCCGCTTGTAGCCGCGACCTTGTCCTTTCGGTCACAACCCAGAGTTCGTGACCATAGGTGAGGGTAGGAACGTAGACCGAGTGGTAAATTGAGAGCTTTGCCTTCCGGCTCAGCTCTCTCTTCACCAAGACGGTCCGGTGCAGCGCCTGCTTTACTGCTGCAGCCGCACCGATCCGTCTGTCGATCTCCCGCTCCATCTTACCCTCACTCGTGAACAAGACCCCAAGATACTTGAACTCCTTCGCTTGAGGTAGGCACTCCGTCTCCACCTGGAGGGAGCAATCCACCGGTTTCCGGCAGAGCACCATGGCCTCAGATTTGGAGGTGCCAACTCTCATCCCCGCCGCTTCACACTCGGCTGCAAACCGCCCCAGTGAATGCTGGAGGTCACGATCCGAGGAGGCTAACAGGACCACATCATCTGCAAACAGCAGAGACACGATCCCGAGACCCCCGAACCTGACGTTCTCCACCCCCAGGCTGCGCCTAGATATCCTGTCCGTGAAAGTCACGAACAGGACCGGAGACAAAGGGCAGCCCTGGCGGAGGCCAACACCCACCGGGAACGTGTCTGACTTATTGCCGAAAATGCGGACACAGCTCCTACTGCAGTCGTACAGAGACCGGAGTCGCCCGTTGTAATGGGTCCGGCACCCTATACTCCCGCAGCACCCCCCACAAGAACCCCCGAGGGACCCGGTCGAAAGCCTTCTCCAAGTCCACAAAGCACATGTAGACTGGTTGGGCAAACTCCCAGAACCCCTCCCTCTTGCGAGGGTAAAGAGCTGGTCCACTGTTCCACGGTCGGGACGGAATCCGCATTGCTCCTCTTGAATCTGAGGTTCGACAAACGGTCGGAGCCTCCTTTCCAGCACCCGGGAGGCTGAGTAGTGCGATACCCCGGTAATTCGGGCACACACTCCGGTCCCCCTTTTTGAAAATGGGAACCACCACCCCGGTCTGCCAGTCCATGGGCACTGATCCCGACCCCCATGCGACATTGAAGAGGCATGTCAGCCAGGACACCCCAACTATGTCCAGCGCTTTCAGCATCTCAGGGCGGATCTCATCCACCCCCGGCGCCTTGCCATCAAGGAGCTTTTTGACTACCTCAGCGGCCTCTGCCAGGGATATGGGTGAGCCTCCCCCTAGATCTTCAGGCGCTGCCTCCTCTGCAGAGGACATGTTGGTCGGGTTTAGGAGTTCCTCAAAGTGTTCTTTCCACCGCCCGACGATGTCCCCTGTCCAGGTCAGTAGTTTCCCCCCCCCTGCTGAGAACAGCCTGGGGTAAGCCCCGCTTTCCCTTCCTGAGCCGTCGGATGGTTTGCCAGAACCTCCTTGAGGCCAACCGAAAGTCCTTCTCCATGGCCTCCCCGAACTCCACCCATGCCCGAGTTTTAGCATTCGTGACCACTGCAGCTGCAGCCCTTCTGGCCTGCCGGTACCTGTCAGCTGCTTCGGGAGACCCCTGGGCCAACCAGGCCTTGAAGGTCTCCTTCTTCAGCTTGACGGCTTCCCTCACCTCCAGTGTCCACTACCGGGTTCTCGGGTTGCCGCCACGACAGGCACCGATGTCCTTCCAGCCACAGCTCCTAGCGGCCGTGTCCACAATAGAGGCTTTCAACATGGTCCATTCGGATTCCATGTCCCCAACCTCCCTCAGGATATGTGAGAAGTTCTTCCTGAGGTGGGAGTTAAAGACCTCCCGGACGGGGTCCTCCGCCAGATGTTCCCAGTTCACCCTCACTACACGTTTGGGCTTGCCGGGTCTTTCCAACCGGTTCCCCTGCCATCTGATCCAACTCACCACCAGGTGGTGATCAGTTGACAGCTCTGCTCCTCTCTTCACCCGTGTCCAAGACATATGGCCGCAAATCAAATGATACGATTACAAAGTCGGTCATTGATCTCCGGCCTAAGGTGTTCTGGTACCAGGTACACTTATGAGCCACTTTATGTTCGAACATGGTGTTCGTTATGGCCAAACCGTGGCAAGCACAGAAGTCCAATAACGAGACGCCATTCGGGTTCAGATCGGGCAAGCCGTTCCTCCCAATCACCCCCCGCCAGGTTTCTCCGTCATTGCCCACGTGAGCGTTGAAGTCCCCCAGGAGAACTATGGAGTCGGTAGGCGGCGCCCTTTCCAGGACCCCTCCCACCGACTCCAAGAAGGCCGGATACTCTGAACTGCTGTTTGGTGCATAAGCACAAACCACAGTCAGAGCCTTGCTCCCCGCAACCCGTAGGCGCATGGAGGCGACCCTCTCGTTCTCCGGGGAGAACTCCAACACAGCGGCGCTCAGCCGGGGGCTCGTGAGTATCCCCACTCCCGCCCGGCACCTCTCACCCTGGGCAACTCCGGAAAAGGACAAAGTCCAACCCCTCTCCAGGAGCTTGGTTCCAGAGCCAGCGCTGTGTGTGGAGGTGAGTCCAACTATATCTAGCTGGTATCGCTCCACCTCCTGCACCAGCTCCGGCTCTTTCCCCGCTAGCGAGGTGACGTTCCACGTCCCTAGAGCTAGTCTATGCTGCCGGTGATCGGCTCGCCAGGCCTCCTGCCTGACCCACCGCCCCGGTCTGCATTGCACCCGACCCCGATGCTTGTCCCTGCGGGTGGTGGGTCCACAGGGTGGCTGCTCCATGCTGTTTATTTGGGCTGAGCCCAACCGGGCCCCATGGCGAAGGCCCGGCCACCAGACGCTCGCCGACGAGCTCCCCTCCTGGGTCTGGCTCCAGGAGGGTGCCCCGGTTTCCCTGGTCCGTGCGAGGTGGCTGAAGTCCGTGGGCTATTTATCATTAGGGTCGTTTTGAACCGCTCTTAGTCTGGGCTCTCCCCCGAGACCTGTTTGCCTTGGGAGACCCTACCAGGGGCTAATGCCCCGGACAACATAGACCAGGATCACTGAGCCACTCAAACTCCTCCACCACGTTAAGGTGGCGATTCGCGGAGGAGTCTTCAAAAACAATTAACAAATATATTTTCTATTCTATTAAAAATCGGATATTCAGCATGGACATATATTTAAATGACATATGTAATATTTATGTCAATGTGCATCTCTCACCAATACCCAAAACATATAAATCACATTTATGTACATATAAGTACATAAAGCAAAGAAGTCCGTTTTCATAGATGCATGCTGATATATAACGTATGGATGCATTGTTACTTCCATATTCAATTTGACTTACGTATTAGCAGTTTATTGTAAATTGTGTTTGAAATGCATACATGCCTCCATAAATGTTATGTTGTTGCATACAAACCTAGTATTTCTACTAACACTTATAGTTTATATATATTTGGAGAGCAGTGCAGTCCATGTCTGGATGGACCAACATGAGAGACTGGAGGGAGGAGCTGGGTGTGAACCACAGCAGAGTTAGAGCAAGGAGAGAGAAAAGACTTGAAAGAATGAATAAACACAAGACACGGCCATTTATCAGATTTACACATTTTATTATTCATGCAGGTTCATGGTTAAGCCAAATGAGCATGGTAATATTTTACAAGTCTAAATGTCTTTAATGTGTGGAGGCTTGTGTGTGTGTGTGTGTCACATGTGATGGAGCCTTCTCACATATTAGCTGCTGTGTGTGTTTTGGCAGCTGTGTACGGAGCATGACGTGCCTGGCTTCGTCAAATTCAAGATGTTTGATGCCAAACGTAAGTAGAACTTCATTGTGAGATGTTTTATTAGGTTCTTGTTAGAGCTCAGAGGACTTTTGTAGCCTGTGAAAAGGATTCATTTGACTGCTCCTACCCCACTGTGTCACCAAGATATATATATATAACAAGATATTGTTATTTTATATTACTATTGATGACCAAAACTGCAAGAAATCTGAAGTCATCATCGGCCCAAAACACCAAACACACCAACTGCTTCTCCATCGATGGCTCCGCTGTCTCCCCTTCCTCCAACATCCGCAACCTTGGAGTCATTTTTGTATCAATCCTTTCATTTGAATCCCACATCAACCACTTTATCAAAACAGCTGTTTTCATCTCAAAAACATTGCCGGCATCCGCCCATCCCTCTCCTTTTCTGCTGCTTTTCCTCATTCATCGCCTCGAGGCTCGACTACTGCAGTAGCCTTCTTTTTGTTCTTCACTCCAAACTCCTCAAAAAGCTTCATTACGTTCAAAAGTCAGCTGACCCAGATGCTTACACACACTAGCTCCAGAGAACACACCACCCCTGTCCTCCAGAACCTCCGCTGACTCCCTACAGAACATCGCATCCATTTCACACTCCTCATCACCGACAAAACTCTGCATAACATGGCCCCCTCCAACCTATCCGCACTGCTTAAATGGCCCCCTCCAACCTATCCGCACTGCTTTAATGGCCCCCTCCAA